ATGTCACAGTGAGGGGCCCTGGGGGGCTGCAGTGTGGTCATGGCCCCACAGCCCCGGAGCGGTGTGACAGGGCCCAGGTGGGGTCCCCCAGGATCTGGGGGTCCTGCGGGAGGGGCTGGTCCTTTCCTGGCTCTGCAGGGACAGGGACATCCCAGGGCTGTCCCTTCCTGGGGCTGAGGCCAGCCCAGACCTTTGGGGGCTGTGAGAGGAGGGTGTCTTGGGCTTAGCAGACATTCTTCCTCCTCCTCCATCCTACAGTGTGTGTGTGGGGGGGGCTGTGGTAGGGCAGGAGAGCCCAGGCAGCAGGAGATGAGATGTGAGGGCTGGGGGCTGCACCCTGTCTCCACTGCTTCCTTCTCACACCTGCTGTCCCCAGGCTGGAGGACGAGACGCAGAAGCGGGAGGACGCAGAGAAGAGCCTGGTTCTGTTCCGCAAGGTGAGGGGGCTGTGGGGCCTGTCTCCCCCATGCAGTGCCCATTCCCCCTTGGCCCCTCGTGCAGTGCACACTGGTGATGCCCGTGACTGGTGACTGCCCACTGGCCCAGCTGCCCACACATGTGAAGGCCCCAGTGATGCCCCGTGCACCAGGTGCTCCCCATCCTGCACTGCCCTGGGGGAAGGCTGTCCCCTCAGTGCTGCCCCACAGCTTGGCCTGGTCTCTACCTGCAGGATGTGGATGATGCTACGCTGTCCCGGCTGGAGTTGGAGCGCAAAGTGGAGCTGCTGATGGATGAGATTGGCTTCCTCAGGAAGCTGCATGAGGAGGTGGGGAGGTTGCGGGGGGATGGGAGGGAGTGGATTTGGGTCCTCGTGCTGCCAAGTGACAGCCTGTGTTCCCACACAGGAGCTGCGGGACCTGGAGGTGAGCGCCATGAGCCCGGCGGTGCCGGTGCAGGTGGAGGTCTGCAAGCCAGAGCTGACGGCTGCGCTGCGGGAGATCCGCACCCAGTACGAGAGCATTGCTGTGAAGAACCTCCAAGAAGCTGAGGAGTGGTACAAATCTAAGGTACCTGGGGGCTGGGGGAGGGGCGTGAGGGGGCTGTGGCACCCCAGAAGCCCTGACTCCCCTGGCCTCGACAGTTTGCCGACCTCTCAAATGCGGCCAACCGCAATCATGAGGCACTGCGGCTGGCCAAGCAGGAGATGAATGAGTCACGGCGGCAGATCCAGAGCCTTACGTCTGAGGTGGATGGGCTGAAGGGCATGGTGAGAGCCTGGGGGGGGTTGTCTGGGCGGGGTGGGGCACAGGCACCGGGCCTCTGGCCCCACGTGGTCCCTTCTTCCCCTGCAGAACGAAGCGCTGCAGCGGCAGATGCGGGAGATGGAGGATGAGTTTGGAGAGGAGATTGGAAACTACCAGGATGTGGTGGGGCGGCTGGAGCAGGAGATCAAGCAGATGAAGGAGGAGATGGCAAGGCACCTGCGTGAGTACCAGGACCTGCTGAACGTCAAGATGGCCCTGGACATCGAGATCGCCACGTACCGCAAGCTGCTGGAGGGAGAGGAGAGCCGGTGAGGCCGCTCTGCCCTGCGAAGGGAGACTGGCACATGCAGCTTCATGTCCCTGTCACTCCCGCGGTGCAGAGTCTGGCTGGGGGAGAAGGTCCCCCTCGTTGGGTCAGCCCGATTGTTACGAGATTTTTCTTGTGAGGAGGCAGCTCTGGCCGAACAAAAAGTTCCCATGGGAGCTTCTTGCTGCTGAGATAAAAGCAAGGCCGGGGGAGCTGCCGCTGGCTCCTCTCCTGCCGCCTCGCTCAGCAGCCACAGGCACAGCCCACCTCAGCCCAGCACAGTTTATCTGTGGTATGGGTCCCCCACTCAGTGGTGTGGAGGGGTCAGGATCACCAGTGATGACTGAGCGCCCCCCTCACCCCCCTCTCCAGAAGCTCAGGTGAGGTGAGGGGGAGGGGGGCAGGGGTTGGGACAGACACCCCACAGGGATGTAGGTGGGTCCCTGTGCCACTGCCTCAACTGGCCTCGCACCCACCTGCACCCTGGGGGGGCACGGGGGCTGACAGCCTCTCTGTGCCCCAGTGCTGGAGCCGCAGCCTGCAGAGAGCCCAACGCGGAGTATGGTGCTCATCAGAACCATTGAGATGCGGGATGGGCAGGTGAGGGCTGGGGGCTGCAAACGGGGCGGGGGGGGGGGTCCATGTTGCGAGGCTGACCCACACCTTCTCCCCCTGCAGCGGGTGGTGACGGAGTCACACAAGGAGCGAGCAGAGCCGGGGAAGTGACAGAGAGGACCTGCTGTGCTGGCCCCCATCCTGCCCTGCCAGACCCTACGGGGCGGCACTAGGGAGGGAGGGGGTTTGCTGGACCCCACTTGCACACTGTGCAGGCTGTGGGGCAGAGCGTGGGGCCAACTGCCTCCAATCCCCACTGCCAGCCCCGCAGCATGATGCTGCCAGACATCCCTGTGCCTTGTCCTCCTATTTATTGCTATTTATTGCCTATTTATTTTTCTCCTTACTGGAACCAATATTTAATGACTGTCTCCCTCTGCCCCAGCCCCACGGCTGAGGGGGTCCCTCCGCATGGGTTTGTGGGCACCGGTGGTCCCCAGGCACTGTCCCCTCCCGGAGTCTCTGCCCTGCCTTGGCCCTGTCTCCTCCCAGCCCTGGGCCCTTGGTGTGGGTGGGGGGCAGGAAGGGGTGCAGGGGCCTGGCTGAAGTGGGGGGGAGTGTCTTGAGGTTGTCCCCCAATGTCCCCATACTGCTTGAGTGGCAAATAAAGGCTGTGGTGAGGATGGGGCCAAGTCCCTTGTGTTGTGAAGAGTGGGGCTAGCTGGGGGGGGTGGGGGCAAATGAAGTGGAAGACATGGAGCTGGCCGTGATGGTGTGCCAGCACCAGCCAAAACACAGTGGGGGAGGTGAGGAGGGGTGTGTGACCAGCGCTGCACTGACCATTCCCCCACCCACAGCTGTCGTGCGGAGAAATACCCTCCTGCTCCGCCAGCCCCCGCTTCTGCCTTCCACAGCGCTGTGCCCCTCAGCTGGGGTCCCACTAGAGCAGTGAAGGCGGGTGGGAGCACCGCGCTGTAGGACTTGGGAGTCCAGAGATCCCTCCGGCAGTGCCCCCCTGTAACTGGGATACACCTCCCTTCTCCCCCCAGATAGTGACCTCAGATCGGACCTGGTCATGTCAGGACCAAGGGACCCTGCCACCAAGGGATGAGGGACGCACCCGATGGGGACCAGGGCATACACCAGGCTGAGGGATGCTCCTGGATTAAGCATCCTGATTGATTCAGGGGAAGGAGGGCCTGTGAGGGGCCGGGGGGGGGTGGGCTGCAGGGAATATTAGGGTTGGGGGGCTCAGCTGGGGGCAGGGGGTTCCCTGAACCCCCAGCTGCAGCCCTAGGGCTGCGCTGTGCCCAGGGAGCACCCTGGGGTACAGGGAGCTCTGTCCCTGCTCCCTCCTGTCACCGCTGCCGACCAGCAACAGTTAGGGAGCTCCTCACCCACTGGTGAGGCCACACCTGGAGTATTGTGTCCGGTTTTGGGCACCTCAATACAAGGGAGATATTGAGGTGCTGGAGCGAGTGCAGAGGAGGGCAACGAAACTAGTGAAGGGCCTAGAAGACAAATCATATGAAGAATGGCTGAAGGAGCTGGGGCTGTTCAGTATGAGGAAGAGGAGGCTGAGGGGAGACCTCATCACTCTCTACAACTACTTGAAAGGACACTGTAGAGAGGTTGTGGCTGGTCTCTTCTCACAGGTAATTAACAATAGAATGAGAGGGAACGGCTTCAAGCTCCAACAGGGTAGGTTTAGATTGAACATTAGGAAGGAATTCTTCACAGAGAGAGTGGTCGGGCGTTGGAACAGGCTGCCCAGGGAGGGGGTGGAGTCCCCATCCCTGGCTGTGTTGAAGGGCCGTTTAGATGCAGTGCTGAGGGACATGGTGTAGGGGAGGACTTTGTAGAGTAGGGGAGATGGTTGGACTCGATGATCCCAAGGGTCTCTTCCAACCTCAATGATTCTATGATTCTATGAAAAACACTTCCACAACCCTGACAGTGCCCCTCCCCCACATGCCAGCTCCCCAAGTCTGTCAGGGTACCCTGGTGCTGTCCCCATCCCTGGGCAGCCCTCTGTCCCCGTGGCTGACTGGGCTCTGTGTTCCCTCCAGTAAAACACTCTGGGTTTGGATGTGCAGCTCCTCCCTGGGCCGGGGGGATGGAGAGGACCCACATCACATGTGGGCACAACTGGGGCTTTGACAGATTGCCCGAATAGTTCGGATTCCGGCCTGACCTAGTTGAGAGAATATCGGATTTTTTTCCTTTGAGAGTCTTGAGGGTTGGAAATTAAAACAGACAGCTCACATCATGTCCTTCCTGAGCAACACGTTATCGTGCCTTTATAGAGTTGTGTATGAAGTTAGTTAACACAACGCTGCCTAAACTGCCAGATGTGTTGGGTTATTATTCGTTTGTTCTTTGTTTTTATTTGCAGTGGTTGGGTTCTGAGTGGTGGGTGAATCGTGCTGTTTTCAGATGGTGTTTAGCACTAATTTATGGAGGGATAAATCGGGGCAGGGCTTCACCTGCGCACCTCGGCCGCCACCCAATGGATTCTGCCACCAACTGCTCTGGAAAGCGCTCTTCCTTCTGTGGAAGCTGACTCCGTTAGAGTTTGGGGATTGTGGAAATGACCGTTGTCGTCAAATCATGATTTTAGTATAGATTCTTCCGAATCTTTTTCAGGGGTGGGTTTATATTAAGCAATGGTGCAGAGGTACATGTTACACGACATGCACTGCCACTACTCCCGCTCTGGCGATGAGCAGTGCTGCTATTCCAGCTCCATCCCTACCGGTACAAGTCACCCCTGTGACCAGGAAGCAAAAAAAGTCAGTTCGTGTCCCTTGCCCTTATACCAAAGACTGGTTTAAGTCAGATCGCACAGGAGTGAGTTCTGACAAGGATCAGAGGGAGCGTCCTTCTAAAACAGATCAAAGAGAGGGTCCTTCTCAGGTGGTATCAACTGAGGAGGAGGATATGAGAAAGGACTTTAGCTGTCATGAAGGCCAAGAGCCTCGTTGCTCTGATGCTGGGATAATAATGGGCCTGATACGACAGACTTAGACTGTAGAGAAGCCAGGCAGTTGAGAAACCTGGACAGAGATGAGGCATCGATAAAGCAGTTGGGATAAAGCCTTATACTCTCAGTCTCTGGGGGTGACTCCTGTCAGCTGAAAGGTGCAGGTATCCCTTTAAGGATGTCAAATGCTGCCCGAGCAAACGGACCACCATGGAAAATGGATGCAGGAGCTGAACTCTACCCATGGTATCACCCGGAGGGATCCCAGGGTGCTCCTCTCTGGGCTGGGGGTGAGGGCAGCAGGGGGAGGAGGTATCGGGGGGGTGCCAAGGGATTTAGGTGCTGGGGGGTTCGGGCTGTCTGCGTATCTCCACCCTCACTGCCTGGCCCCCTCTCCTGCTCCAGCTCCTGGTGATGCCACTGAGAACGAGCCAAGCTCACAGTCCTCCCGGCACCCCACGTTGCCATGGGCAGAGCCATATTCCCAGCACCCAGGTCTATGAGGAAGGGGTGCCTGGGACCACCCTGCCCAGCCAGGTCTGCTGGGGCAGCAGGGGGCTAGGAGAGCTGGGGCAGGGTTGGAGGGGGCCCTGAACCAGTGTCTCATTGCAGATGGAGAGTGCAGAAGGACGGGGTGATGTTTCCCCATGTCTGGTGTGGGGAAAGGTCCTGGCACCACCCGCACATCCACAGTGGGGAGCCCACATCACCCCACTCCACGCATCCATCACCCCCACACACCCCCTCCCATTACTGTGTGCCTGTTAGAGCCTCAGAGCATGAGGCCTGTTGCTCCCTAAAAAGCTCCATCCCCTACACCCTTTGGGGGTCACCATCCCCCTGGGCCACACGCCAGCCCCCCACCTGGTGCCTCTGAACCTCTCTCCCCCAGGCAAACACCCCACCACTGTGCTGGCTGCCAGAAAAGCTTCTCCCACTCTAGCTCCTCCACCCCCTACCTGTGCACCCCTCTGGGAACCCCTGCCCCCCTCTGGGACCCCCACCACCCTCTGGGACCCCTACCCAGCCCTGTGACGGGATCCTGGCACTGGAGGGGTGGAGGCTGAGGCTGTACAGCACAGGCACCAGCCACTGCTTGGAGCCAGGGTTGCCCTGCCACACCAGGGACATCCCCTGGGCACCAGTGGGTCCTTCCCAGGCCCCAGTGAGCACCTGGATCAGTCCCTGGTGTCTCCCTAGGAGTCCCCCAGGATCCAGCTATGTCCCCTTGGGCCCTGTGCCTCCCAAGTCTCCTGTGTCCCCCCCTTTTTGCCTGGAGCTCTGGGGCCCTGCCTGCCCCCCATCTCCTGCCTGCCCTGGGCCAAGAACAGATCCAGTGGGCACTGCTGCCTGGGACCTGCGAGTGGCTGGTGCAACTGGTGAGCAGAAGTCTTGGAGACACTGGGGAGCTGGGAGGATGCAGAAGCAGTAGTTGGTGGCACCGGGTTCTGGAGGCACGATGGGATGGGAACCAGAGAACCAGGGGACATGGGGAGGGACTGGGGGCCACTGGGAGGCCCATGGGGATGGTGACACCGACAGTGACAGCTCCCATATCCACTGCATCCTGCAGGCAGGGATCCTGGTGGTCTGGCAACTCTAGGGTCCACAGGGGCTGGTGGTGGCTGCAGCAGGGTGTCCCACCCCTGGAGAGACCCTCAGCCCTGGCACTGGCTGGGGACTTTCCTGGGGGGCGTCTGATGATGATAAATACGTATTTAATGAATGGTGGAAATAAAGCAGCGCTATAATGGCCTCAGGGAGGGGTATGGGGCATGGCAGGGGGCAGATGGAAGGGCATTCGGGGGCTGCCACCGGACTGGATGATGATGTTCTCCGGGGAGGCAGCGTGAGGTGGGTGGCTCTTGGTGCCACAGACTCCCCCCCGCCCCCAACCCTGCTCAGAGCAAGACGTGCTGATGGTGCCGGGGAAGGTGCTCGTTTACTGCAGAGTCAAAGGTACATGGGGCAGAGGACTTGGGGGTAGGAAGGAGCACTGGCAGCAAGAGCAGTGTGCCTGAATTTGAGGCGGGGGGACAGGCGTGCTCAGGAGGGCGTGGGGAAGATGTGGTCAAAGTGTGCCAGCAGCAGCTCCACGACCTGGTTCTGCTGGGCCATGTCCACTGCCAGGCTGCCCGGCTCCCGCTCTGGCCGCAGCAGCGTCGGCCCGAACACGATCCCGATGTTCTGCCGTGTCATGCGGTTGACATCCACCCGCTCCATCACGCTGGGGATGCGCAGGGTTGGGGGGTGGTCCATGGACCCCATCCAGCCCCAGTCCCCCCTCCATCGCCCTAGGGGCTCCGTCTGCCAGGGCTCCATCACTCTGGCAGGCACCCCATGCACCCCTTCCTGCCTCCACCCCCCCCTCCCCTGGCATTCCAGGGCCACCCCATACCTCCCCGTTACCCCATAGCCCACCCACCTGTGGGGCATCTCTAAGCCCACCCCACAGCCGCCCTCAGCCTGGAAGCAGCCCTCCTCTTACCGGCGGAGGTGAGCCAGAAGGTAGCGGAGGGTGGCATGGTTAGGGGGGGGCAGGCTCTGCACCAGCTCAGCCACCCGCTTCACCTGCTCCTGAGGGTCCGGCAGCTCTGGAGGGGGAGCCCCAGCAGTCAGACATGGTGCCCCCCCGTAGGCTGGGGGTGCCCAGGGGGAGTGCTGCAGGGGGGCACTTACTGACGGCTTCAATGAAGGGGTCGAAGAGCCTGTAGGGCACTAAGGGCTCGGGCAGCTCCCGAAAGAAGAGCTTGAGGGCACCAGTCACCACATGGACATCGCTCCACTCGGGGTCTGCCAGGCTGAGCCGCTCCTCTGGGAGGAACGGGAGAGGTCACCTTGTGCCCAGGCCCCCCCAGGGTCCCAGCTCTACCAGGGCGACTCTCCCTGCCCGGCCACCCCAGCTGACCTTGGCATGGCTGCTCAGGGAAGACGTAGCGCCCGTCCGAGGTCACGGCTCGCTCTGTGGGGAGGAAGGAGGGTTTCACGGGGGAAGAAGCCACCTTCCCCTGTTCCTGGGCACATGCTCCAACACCTTGTCTCCTCCCCAGTTCCCGTGTCCCGTGCCCCCCTGGTTTCCTCACCCCGGTCCACAGCAAAGCGCAGTTTCTGGATGACAGAGAGGTTCCCGTTGACCCGGTAGATCCCATCGACGTCAAGGCCTGGGGACAATGAGGGGGATGAGAGACGGTGGGGGAAGCCTGTGCCGGACGGTGGGACATGCCGGCTGGGAGGACCCTACCTCTCTCCTCGACAGCCTCCACGCAGAGCCGGACAAAGCGGGGCACAGTGGTGCTCTCCCGCTGGCACAGGGCATCCAGGCGGCACCCAAAAACCTGGTCTGAGAGAGGACAGTGCTGGGCAAACTGGGATGGGGAGCACTGAGACTTGGGGGTACAGGGAGGGAACGCTGGGGACCAGGAGGGTGGTGGTGAGGGCAGAGAGGGACACCTGCACTGGGAGAGGGTATTGGGACCAGGAAGGGATGCTGGACTGGAGGGAGACACTGGGACCAGTGGGTGCACAGGGACTGAGGGGGAGGATTCTGGGGGGAAGGAGATGGGACGACAGACACTGGGATCAGGAGAGGGACAGGGACCAGGAAGGGATGCTGGGACTTGGGAAGAACACTGGGACCAACAGGGGCAGGGGGACTCAGGGGAGGGACACTGGGCAGGGCAGGGGGGCACCAGGGACTGGCAGCCAGTGCTCAATGGAGCACTCAGGTCCCCCCTTCCTCCTCGACTTTGGGCAGACGGAGGATGTGGGAGGGTTTTGGGTGGTCTCAAGGACGTGGTGGGACTTGGGGGGGGGGTGTTCACCCCACCTCGAATCAGCCCCTTCTCCTGCAGGCTCTGGAGAGGGGGCCGCTTGATGATGAAGCGCCTCAGCTTGCTCTTCACCCGCTTCTTCTCCGAGGCATCGGGGGCATGGGGGGCACCTGGGGGGCACAGCAGGCCCGGGGGGTGGTCACAGTCATGGTCATGGCAGCCCTCAGTCCTGCTGCCCCCTCTCCAAGCCCCAGCCCTACCTGGAGCCCCAGCCCCCTCAGTGACCCGTGGTGCTTCATCCTCGTCCCCGCTGAACTCCACCAGGTCCCCAACGTCCCCCTGGTGCAGCCACCCCACAGGCATGTCCATGGGGTTCTCCAGGTCCTGGGCGATGTGGCAGTGGTGAACAAGGACAGTTGGGGATATGGGGCTGAGGGCAGCCATGGGGCACCCCCTGTGCCCCCTCAGGCACTCACCAGCCGGCGGATGACCCCCCGGATGGCCTGGGCCCACTCCTGGATGGTGGCCTCTTGGTCCGACTGTAGCAGGAACTCATTGCCCGTCACAGTGCGGAGCTGGGGAGGGAATCCCTGTGACCCTCAGACTGCTACAGAGACCCCCAGGTCCCTGGGTTCTGCACTTTAGGCATCCCCATATCCCCACCCCGGGGTCCCACCCCACTCACGTGGAGGACGTTCTTCTTGCTGGAGAGGTCATGGGCCCAATCCAGGACAGCGCCCCGCAAATCCATGCTGCTCTCCGGGCGGCTGCTGGCAGGACACTGGGGGGGCACCGGGTGTCACCCTGTCCCCCTTGTTTCTCCACAGCACCCCATATTCCTCCACAACCCTCTCCTCCCGCTGTCCCTCCCTGTCCCCCCCACACCTCCCGATGCTCCAGTACCCCCCTGCCGTCGCAGCACCCCTGTGCCCCCCACTCACCCAGGCAGTGGGTGCCGGCCCCTTGGGCTCCTTGTAGAAGATGAGGCTGTTCCCGGCCAGTACCCCCCAGGAGACCCCCCAACTCTTCCTGGGGGGCAGCAGGTGAGGGTCACCTCCCACCCCTCCCCAGCCAAGGGCTGGAGGCAGGCTTGGGTGCCCCCCACCCCAGCAGAGCCCCACACAGGCACCATTTGGGCACTGGTAGAGCCCCATGTCCACTACCTCCCCCCTCCCCCTCCCC